ATGGGTTGTTAGTTTTAACATAGTGGAGGATTCTGGGGAGAAATATACATTGTTCTGCATTTACTGAGAAACCTGCTGTCGCTGCTCGCAGAGGAACACTCTGATGTCACAGTTTTAGTTCTGATGCTGAGTCCATCAGACTGGATGGCAGGCGGAGGCTCCCTATAACGATTAGGCTGAGCCCATCAGAGAAGGCAGAAGGTAGAGGCTCTCTAGAGCTATTGTGCTGAGTCCATCAGAGTGGACAGCAAGCAGAGGCTCTCTAGTGCTATTAAATCTGACCATTTTAAAGACTGTGTGTGCCCAAGGACACAAAACAAGTGAGGGCTGGAAAGGGACAGAGAGAGCTCTTCCGCTCACCCCCCACTGGCAAAGAGCCATCCGAGTGCCCTGTGAAGATAGCTGCTCTCCACTCAGTGTGCAGCCTTTGATGCCCAACACAAACCAATTTCAGAGCAATTCTTCCGGTGAATGCCCTGGGCCTGCAGATCACACAATTACATCTCGAAATACTTAACCAGGAGACATTTCAGTGTACTGATCACTTGGCATTGCTTTCCTTCTAACTTGGTAAATCACCATAGCCTGAGCTTTTAAGAAAAATGCTACTTTATTCAATCAGGCTCAAATTATAGCACCAAAAGGAAGAAAAGTCTCCTAGGTTATGTGCATAGTCAGAAAAATTATTAGGATGATAAGTTTTAGGGTTAAAGGTGGGTCTCTGATTAGATGGCATCCAGAGAGCAGAGGGTGCCTGTGATCAGCCCCGATAATCCTTGAAAACATACAAGGTCACGCTGTGCACATTGACCCAACAGGTCAATCAGAACATGAGAGAGTTTTTATAATTGCTAACTGAGCCAAAGTCCAATACCTCCAGAGAAACATGGTGGCATGGCAAAGGCTGGGTCACAAGGCTTACACTCAAGGTGAAATAGCCCCTCTCCTCTTTATCCCACCCAAACTGAAAGTTGGAATGTTCAGGATGTGGTTACTGAGGCAGAAAGAACATGAGAAGTAAAGGGAGAAAGAGAGAGAAGAGGGGAGACAGGGAGATGTGTGTGAGAGAGGAGGGAGAGAAAAATTCCATTATCCACATAGTAATCTGGATCTAAGCAGGGAGGACTGGCCTAGAGGTCTCCAAGGTACCATCGCATTTACTCGCTCCACCTCTTGGATTCTGAGAAGAGGAACATGTAAACTACAGATAACAACTCTATCTGAAGCACTATGGTAAGTACCTCTGAGCCTGCCTCCCTGCTTGACACTATGATGTGGTGGAGTGGGGATGGAACACCGGAATCTGAACAATAATGAAGTACATGACTTGAGAGCTCTCAGCAAACCTCTGCTTTCTCTTAGCGAGTAAAGGGACTGGTAGGTTGATGAAGGACTAGTGGGTCTGAGACAAACTTGGGATGCTTTCGAGGCTGGAGGAGGATGAAGGGAAGCTTCATGCCACATCTTCTCCAAATTCCCAGGGACTGAAGATCCCAGGTTGCTGCTTCTGATCATCTATAAAAGCAAAATCCTTCTTGATTGCCTTTCCCACTAATGCCATAGACCAAATTACAGTAAATCGAATCTCTTAACAACCAGATGGCCTTGTAATTTGTCAAGGGTAAGGCAAGTGCACCCAGCAACCATGCATCAACCTCCCACACACTTGGACAGTGCCTCCACCTGCCAGCTTACTATGGGAGCTCAAAAGGAGGAGCATATGGCCTTCCTCTCCCAGGGCTCATCTGAGACCTTTATCCCATCCATCTTTGGCATCCCTTAGATGCTTATTCCTTCAGCTGATCTTATTCTTATCTTCCAACTTTAAAAATAAGTGAATGGTTTTTGTGTGTGTGTGACAGCTACTTTGATACTTAAAATTCCCCTTCCCCAAAGCAAGCCATTTTTATTTTATTTTATCTTAATTTATTGCATGCACCTACATTAGGTCTAACTTTAGAATAATTAAGAATGGACTTGATACCCTCTTGAAGTATCTATAACATAAATTTTTGTCATTATCAATGAAGAAGGAGCTTATGTAAAATTGGTTACTTCTATGGTCTCAAATTGAGTTTGGTTTTATATGTGTATTTGAATGAGTTGTTGTGCTGGGTTTAGGGGAGAGATTTTCGTGAGGGACCTATGGAATACTGAGAAAAACGAGTTTTATCTCTCTAAGAAACTGCTTTCAAGACCAGAGTCAAAGATAGCCTGGCTGACTGGAAATAAGGCCAGTGTCCCCAAAGCAATACAGAGAGGGGACAGAAGTCATTCATGGCTGTCCCCAGAAAAGAAACTAACCTTCAAGGAGAGGTGAGACATGAGTTTTCAGAAGGTCTTGGACACGCCGTAAAAAAAAAAAAAAAGTCAATAGCTCTTCTCCTGTGACTCCTGAAATTAGTTTTGAAGGGAAGCATTTAATTGGAACATATATTGTACCTGCAGTATTTTGTACCTATACATCAAATACAAAAATCACCTACTCATTACATAGATGAAGATCCTCAACAAACTGGAGTATAGGTTATATTTTTTTAAGGTTTGCTTTTTAACGACTTTTTATTTTATTTGTATATGCATATATCTATATGTGTATTTGTGTGTGTGTATATACACCACTTGTATGCAGGTGACCACAAGGACTAAAGAAGCTATCAGAGTCCCTGGGTCTGGAATTGCAGACAGTTGTGAGTCGCCTGAGGTGGGTGCTGGGAACCAAACTTGGGTCATCCAAAAGAGCAGCAAATGCTCTTAAACACTGAGTTATCTTCTCCATCCGTGGGTGTATTCCTTGTTTTAATAGATTTTACAGTACACTTGACGTCGGTTCTGAAATTCTGAGTCTTGTAACTTTCTGAGCAGTTTTCTTTCTCTGTTAAAGTGTCAGATCTCTATCGACCTGCCTTTCTCTAAAGTTTCTCACAAGAATTAAATAGAAAAACAAATTCTCTTTTTTTTTTTTTTTTTTTTTTTTTTGGTTTTTCGAGACAGGGTTTCTCTGTAGCTTTGGTGCCCGTCCTGGAACTAGCTCTTGTAGACCAGGCTGGCCTCGAACTCCCAGAGATCTGCCTGCCTCTGCCTCCCGAGTGCTGGGATTAAAGGCGTGCGCCACCACTGCCCGGCACAAATTCTCTTTGTAAAGCATGAATTTTACAGAACCAATCCTTGGTGTGACTATTCTTGAAAGTGCCCTGTTCCACCAACCTTTGGCAAACTGTGGTAGCGATCTGAAGTATGGTCCTCAGAGTTAATATATCTTTGGGTCAGGTGGGTTGGGGGTGGGGACTTGATGAAGCCCAGTAGCCTCTTCCTAACACAGAATGCTTTACAGAAAACCTGTGATGGGGACTCTCAGAAATTTTAGTGTCCCATCTTCTGATGTGGGAGTGTCATATACCAATCTGTTGATTTCATTGGTTAAGAAATAAAGAAACTGCTTGGCTGGCCCTCATAGGTTAAAACATAGGTGGGAGGAGTAAACAGAACAGAATGCTGGGAGGAAGAGGAAGTGAGCTCAGACTTGACAGCTCTCCTCTCGGGAGCAGATGCCTCAGAGAGATGCCATGCTCCCGCCATGTTCCCCCCTCGCCTGGGCAGACAGACGCGATTCAGCTCCGACCCAGGATGGATGTAGGCTAGAATCTTCCCGGTAAGCACACCTTGGGGTGCAACACAGATGATTAGAAATGGGCTAAATTATTTAATATGTGAGAATTAGCCTAGAAGAGGCTAGATAGAAATGGGCCAAGCAATGTTTAAATGAATACAATTTGTGTGTTGTTATTTCGGGGCATAAGCTAGCCAGGCGACCGGGGTGATGGGGACGCAGCCCCGCCGCTCCTGTTACTACAATCTTCCTTGTGTGACATGTCCTGCCCAAGTCATCCACTGTCCTGACTTTCCAAATGGCAGGGTGTCACAGCTGTAGTGTGTAACACCACCAGGAGGCGCTGTGTTTGCTGGAACCTGCGGTCTGGCTTCAACCTCTCTTCCTGTCTATCTCGGTTTCATATAGAAACATAGCTGTATCATGTGGCCATGTTCTTCACTGGCCCGGAAGCCCACATTTACAGAGCTCCACCATGCCTCACGTGGCAGGCTGTGCCTTTAACTTGCCCCCTAGGCAGGGTCCTCCTGTGTAGACTGCTCTTGGCTTGCCTGATAAGCACAAAACTTATCTCAGAGGAAAGTGCTTGAGGATTTAAGCTTCTCTTACAGCTAATTAGGTATTGTTTTACAGATTGGGTTGTTCCTTCTGAAAGAGGAGCTGCAATTTACTTCCCCTGCCCTCTCCTTAAATTTAAACCGAACTGTAAAACATGGCTGTTTGATTGTTTAGTACAATCAAGAGATTGCTTTGCACAGGGAACAGACATTCATCTCTATGCTAATGCTGAGCTTATTTGGACCCTCCTTAATGGCTACCACGTGGATGACAAACACTTTGGTCAGATGCCGTTCTTCCATTGAAAAGGTGGTCCAGACAGTGGTCTGCTGGCCCATCTCTGAACAATCAGTGGCATCATCTTGTTTTCATGCTGCAAGGGAGAAGGCTTTATTACCCCCATTTTACTGATGAGGACATGGATGCTCAAGACTTTTAGCTTTTAGTCAAGCAAACTGAGAAGCAAAGAATCCAGACCACAGACTCAGAATGCGTTCAAGTTTCACACCCGCACACTGAATTTCACACCCGCGCATCATGAATTTTACTCCTGATGAAGTACCAACCACAAGACTCTTTAAAACATCCTCTGACCCAAGGGTCCTTGTGTATAATGGCGAAAGGAACCATTTTTAAAAAATTGCCCTGGAGCTGATAAGATGGGCAACAGGTAAAAGGCATTTGCTGCCCAAGCTTAGCAATCTGAGTTCCATCCCCAGGACCCAAGGTGGAAAGAAAGAACTGGCTCCCTCAAGTTGCCCTCTGACTCCAAATGCATGCGTGTGGCACACATGTAATAAATCTAAACTTTTCAATTGCTTTTCTTCTGTAGGGGGCCGGCTATTCTCTCTTCCTCAAGACTGTGCCCAGCACTTGATGAATGGAGATACTCTGAGTGGAGTTTACACCATCTTCCTCAACGGGGAGCTAAGCCACAAGCTGCAAGTATACTGTGACATGACCACAGATGGGGGCGGCTGGATTGTAAGTACATGCTGTAGGCACATCTTCAGGCTTCTAGTCCCCCTGACTGAGTACCTGAGGATTGCATTGTCACCATCCTTTGGACTGTCCTTTTCTCTACCCCCTTCACTTGGGCCCTGGTCTCCTCACTGCCTTCAAGACCCCCATCCAGGAGCCCACTCATAAGCAGAGAAAGGAATGACCATTGTTTGTTCCATTTTGTTGCTATGATAAACACCACGACCAAAAGCAGCACAGGGGAGGAAAGTGTTTGACTTACACTTTGAGTCCCTAGTCCATCATTGAGGGATATCAGAGCTGAAGACAAACAGAAGCTAAAGCAGAAAGCATGGAGGAAAGTTACTTACTGGCTCAGTGGCTTATGCTCAGCTATTTCTTATACAGCCCAAGCCCACCTCCCTCAGGACGGTGCTACACTCAGTAAGATGGCACTTCCCACTTCAGTCAAGATAATTCTTCATAGACATGGCTACTTGCCAATCTTCTGGCAGCAATTTTTCACCTAAGGTTTCCTCTTCCAAGGTGACTCTGTGTTGGGTCAAGTTGACAATAAAAACTAAGCAGGACACATACGAAGGGTGCAGTGGCCTATCCCAAACAAGGGATGTGAGATGACTGCCTTCCTTGCCTTGGGCACCTTCTGCAAACCAAGTGAATGCAGGGGCTGCTGGGGAAAGGAAAGGAGTGAGGCACAAGGATCCTACTTGCCATGGGCTGGAGCTAAAACAAAGAGGAGGCAGCCACCTCACAGAAACACTTGAGCCTCTCATGGTGAGGTAGTTCATTTCCTAATCTTGGAGGGTAGCATCTGGTAGATCAGATCTGGACAGAATGTGGATGACCCTCTAGTTGCAAGAGCTGCTTTTGTCTTCATCCTGTTCCAGATCCCAGATTCTTCCCCAGAGCTGTCATAGACTTTAGGGAGCAACAGTGGTTGGTAGAGACACTGGTTGCTGACACCACCTCCTCTCATACTTGATAGGCCAGTGCAGAGCAGAAGAAATAGGGCAGCTGGAGATGCTAGCCACTGCACACTGAGCAAGTTCCTGAAGCTGGCTCTAGGCAGAGCAGCAGGGGTTGATTTCAGTGTGAAGGGAAGCAGCTCTCCCCCCCCCCCCCACACACACACCCTTAGCACTGCTCAGATACAGCACCGGAGCTTTAATGCTCCACAACGGGAAGGCTTGGAAGAGTTAAATGTTGACTACACTCATAATACTCTGGGGAGACATTTTCTTTTATGTTTCTGACATATTTGTGCCTCCTTCTTAAAGCATAATTGGAAATTGAAGCCAAGGCTGATGTATTGGAGGTTAAATGAAATTAGCACTTACACAGCTTGGGAAGTGAATGATAGGCAATTGCTTTGCCTGCAATAAGATGATGACAGTGACTGCATGATTTGAAGTTGGTCCCAGTCCTTTGGTGAGAAATGCTTTCTGCTACTCTCTGTGGTGCAAAAAGATTAATTTGAGAATCAAGCCCATTTCCCCTGACTATTTGTAGCTTGATTTGTATCCTGAATCTTTTCTATATTGCAGGGGTGCAAATTAATGTCGATATCACACCCTCGGCCTATTTGTCAGGGGCATCAGCACTTCAAGAAAAGGGCTCTGAGCATCCCCTGTGAAAGCTACCACGGAAATATTAAGCTCACTTCTGAAATGGTCCTTATGCTAGCTGATACAGTCATATGGAGCGTCTCCTCTCTTTTTCTTCACAGGTGTTCCAGAGGCGGCAGAACGGCCAAACTGATTTTTTCCGGAAATGGGCTGATTATCGTGTTGGCTTTGGGAATCTGGAGGATGAGTTTTGGCTAGGTAACATCCACTTTGTGTTGTCTCTGCACAGGCTGCCCTGGGTTTCTGTCCGTCTCTATCCCTTCTGTGTCTGCCTGGGATTGTCAGAAGTGTGTGTCCATTGAGCAGTTGACAGCATGCGAATTGCTTTTGTGCCTCTTGCTCCGTTTGGCTCCGCTATTGATCTGTTTTTATCTGACTGTGGTGTTTTCCTCTTTGCTCTGTTTCTTCCCATCCTCATTAATAGTCTTTTATGCTGATGGATCTTGACATGAGGCAAGTACAAAGACAAGGATCTGCCTGGTATGGGCCTGGTAGGGAACGGACCACAGGAAGGAAGCAATGGGCAGGCTGGCCCTGTCTCGGAAGCTAGGCAACCAGCTAGCCAGCCTGCAGGGTAGAGAGAGAAATGAGACTCTGCTGGGTTCCTGGGAGACTGTTATTATCTGCCGTGGGAGGGGACGGGGCAAAATGAGAGTGACATTAGAGATGGTTTCCTAGAGGTGTGACACAGCAGGAAGTTTAGATGGAGGTTTAGGTGAGTACAGGAAGATAAACACAGTCACGTCAGACTGATGGTGCTGATGCTGGCTCATAAGCAGTCAGAGTGTGAACGCCTATATTTCTCTGTAAGATTTTCCTAATGGTTGATAAAGGGAGGCGGAGAGAAACAAATAAATGATGGTGTTATATATTTGCACTCTTCTCTCTCCAATACCTGCCACGTTCTTGTTCAAGCCTCACAGTCTTCGAGGGTGGTGAGTTCCCTACCCTCAGGGTAACCTCATTGCCTACATGGCTCTAGAATGATCTTCCTCCTGTCCTGAATCTGAGGGAAGGGTAACAAGCTCCTCAGCCAAGGTGCAAGACCTTTTAATCTCCTTCTTTCTGGATCCTTCTTTCCACCTTCTCTTTATCCCATCCCACTTCCCCAGCACCCACCTTCCATGTACAACCATGGAAGCTTCCTCTTCAAGAAACACTCCTTTAGCCAATTTTCCCTTCCTCACCTTGGTATCTACCTACTTATATCCAAAAGCCAAGTTAAGTACCTCTTTCTCTGTAGAAGCCATACTGACTTTTTTCTTCCATTGCCTGTAAGATCATTGGCCAAGTTCCCATATGGCCTGAATCATGGTATCTATTTTACTTTATCAGTTTAGACTATATTGTATGTTTCTTGGGGTCTCACCATTCCTCTTTTGACGTCACTACCTAAAACTGCCGGAGATACACGTATCTCAAGTGTAAATATCAATTAATGATAAGAATTCCTTGAGTATTTGTTAGATAGCCAAATCTATGTTTGTCAATATAGGAAATAAAAATGTTCGGTAAGAACCTTATAAAAACACTCAGAATTCAAACAAGCAGAAAAATGTGCTTTGATTTACAGCACTTTTTTTTTTTTTCAAACAGCTTGGGAGCCAGTAATACCCATGAATCAATGTAGACATAAGTAGTCAAGACTCATGGCTACAAAAACCTAAGCCACTGTGCACCCGGTTCACAGTTTCTATCATTTCTGTGAAACATGTGAACTATTCAGCACTTAAATGTTCTATATATCACTTTCTATTTAATTAAATATTTGTTTTAAAGAAGCTTTATCCGCTGCTAAAAAATGGAAAGCTAGTTGTTGTGTGCCATAAATAAAAAGATGCCTCAAAAGTAAAAGTATCATTTAAAACTGAAGAACGCGAAGAGAGCAATATTAATATGATTAAACGACAGTTACATGCAAGAATACCAAGTCTATTGCCGCTGCTGCAGCTGCTGCTGCTGTTGAATGATGATCAGAAAGGGCTCTGTGTTCAGCCAACCGTGAAATACTAGAATAAACTGGGACTGGGAGTTGAGATTAGGGTCAAGGTTAGGGTTTCGCTTCCATCTTAATTTAAGAAAAGCTGAGTTGGAATGTAGAACCATCCCTGTTTGTTCAAGGTTACTTAGAGCTTTGTTCCCACTTGTGTCTCCTCTCACTAGAGACGCCCTTTCACCCCCAGATTAACTGATAGACGACTGACAACAAGCCCCAGGGATCAGAGGTGGAAAAATCAGGGGAATAGGAAAGAGGAGGGGTAGAAGAGGGAGAGCAGGAATCCTTTTGACACATGCAAATAGGGGACAGGGAGGAAACCCTCTGAGCAGATGCAAGGAATAAGCCAGAGAAGGAAGAAAATGTGGTCAGGTCGGCTGCCTGAGAAGCTTGTTACAGAACCCAGAAGCTGGAAAGAGAAGCCTTGACATAAGGTAAATGAGGCGTGTTAGTTATTTCTCCCCACCACTGCAGCAGAGTAACCAACAAAAGCAACTTAAAGACAGGAGGGCTTATTCTGGCTCCTAGCTGGAGGATCCAGGCCATCATGGCATCAGGCCTGATGGGGGCAAAGGAGGCAGTCAGTCATGTGGCATCCGGAATAGAAACTGCAAAGAGAGATGGAATTCAGCACCCTTTCTCCTATTTCTTCCGTCCAGGCTCCCATCCCAAATGATTATCCAGCTGGCATTCCGGGAGGTTCTTCCTACCACAATTAGTCTAATCTAGACAGTCCCTCAGACAGATCCAGAGGTTTCTGTCCAAAGGCGCTTCTAAATCCAGTCAAGGTGACAATGAAGATGTCCCCCCATAGGAGGATTTGCTAAGAGAGACCTGAGGCTATGTAGCTGAAGCAGCAATACTCTATGGCCAGTAACTCTAACCCCTCCGCCCCAGCCTTTGTTCTAAGTTAGGTTTTCTGGGACCAGATCCTAAAGAGGGATTCTCATTCAAGTTATTTACTGGGGTGAGTTCTTATTTAAGTGGGATACTGAGAAGAGGGTTGAAAGAACAAGGAGAGATCCAGAAAAACCATAACACTGGGCATTGATTGAGGACTCCCTTTACATGGAGTCCAAGAGATGCTCTGGAGCATGAACTCCCGTTGGGCAAGGAAGCTAGTCTTCTGTACCTCCACTTCAGTCACTGCCCGGAGTCTGCTCTGAGGTATGAGGAGAAGGAAGAAGTAACACTCAACCCTCAGAGAGGCAGCTGTAAGCCACCCGCAGTCCACCTGTCTAGGAGCTAAGGGTCGGCCTCCCTAGACGCTAAAGCGCATCCAGGCACAACATCACCAGCAAACAGCACCTGCACAAGTCAAGGACAGGCTGTGGGGCGGCAGCTCCACAAACCATATTTGAAAGCCTTCCGCTTGCAATCAAGGTAAAGCTTTAAATCTTAAGCAGGTAAATGAACCAAAGACTTAGGCCCTTGGCCGCCCACTTCACCCTCTGAACCCTCTCCCACAAAAGGAAGAGGGAGGTTTAAGTCATCTCTAAATTTCCTAGTACCTACACCACTTTTTATTTCTAAATCATGGCATGCTAAGATAGCTGGGGTCACATCAAATCGAAAAGGCTCCAGCTTCCTGGGGCAGATAGAAGCCTGGAAGGCTCAGCGTCCTCAGCAATACAAGGTCAATGGCTCAAAGTTTAGGTAGCTAGGTCAAAATCAGAGAAAGGGGATATGAGAAAATAACAGGTCAGGACTCTGCCTGAACTCTGATTTAAAGGGTTTTATACCTTATAAGAATTTCTTATCCCAAGGCCTGGGATGCTGAGAGGGCAAGTGAGTGGGAGTTTAGAAGGACAGGTGAAGAGTAGCCATAGCAGATAAACATGTAACATATAATGACACTGAAAAAGAAATGGAGCCAGGAGGCAACTAGCAACAGAGATGCTCCCCAACTTATAACAGGGGGCTGCACATCTCCAGTGAAAATTCCGGGTAAGCTGAAAGGGTGTTTAATGTAGTAACCTACTAAGCATTACAGGTGAGCTACACAGTGTTCTGCCCTAGTGGTCACAAGATTGACTGGCAGCTGTACTCGGCGGAGCTGATGCCCAGCCTAAGGAGACAATATAGCATGGTGAATCTCTACCCTAGAGAAAGGCCCAAATGCAAAGTGCAGAAACTAACAAATGCAGATAGCTTTAACACCATCATAAGATGGAAAATTCAAAAGTTCAGTTATCACAAACCCAGGACTCTCCATTTCTCTGACCTGTTTCTGGAGGCCCCAGGAATCCTGGACAGGAGGGAAGGGCAGCACAATGCAAGGTGGCCTGAGTCTTGAAGCTGCAAGGAACCCCTTCTGTGTCTGGGTATCTTAGATTCTCTTGACCACATGTTTCTACCTGTTGCTTCATACAGCACACACCAAAAGGATCACACTTTTTCAAGACTTCTTGAGTTTTTGCTACCATCATTTGACATAGAAGATTTGGGGAAACATGGCCAAGAATCTTGAGTTTGGGGGCTTGCCAGTTACTAGGTCAAGATTAGATGGTAGGAACCAATGTTGTCTGAGGTGACAGACCTGGGGTGACTCCTCACAAGAGGACAGCTAGAGCCTGGCGGGGTCTGTTTGAAACCAGCCTTAGGGTGGAAGGCAGAACGATGTGGGTAACCAACTCCTTCTCCATAGCATGTTTCCCTCCCGTTGCCAAAGCTGCCGGGGCGAGACTCAATACACAGTCTGTTCTTCTCCACAGGGCTAGATAACATCCACAGGATAACAGCCCAGGGTCGCTACGAGCTGCGAGTTGATATGAGAGACGGGCAGGAGGCAGCCTTCGCCTACTATGACAAGTTCGCTGTAGAGGACAGCAGAAGCCTATACAAGCTCCGCATAGGAGGCTACAATGGCACTGCAGGTACCCGGGGGCCCCTCGCTGACTCCATGGGCAGTGGATGTGTGTTCCAGTCCTGAGCTGCAGAGGAAGCAGCAGAACTCACCGAGTTCGTGAACTATCTGCTAGCCGCGAAGCAGACAGTTGGGCCATTCACACAGATTCCTCCTATCCATTCAGGAGACCAGGAATCAATTATTAGGGCTTTAGTTTTCTCCCATGGAAAAGTATAAATAGTGATAGCATCTCGAAAATTATGGTAGTGATGTCTGTCCCATTTTACAGAATAGTCAGAAATTTTGCTGTAAGTGCAATGTGTCTGTAAAGTTTACTTGGAAAGAATGTCATGGGAGAGCAAAGGGTTGCTTATCTAGATTAACCTGTGTGGGCTCCCATTTGAAGAGAGAAGAACTATTTCTCAGTAGGCGTCTCCTTACAATGGCAACTAGGAAAATGACCTTTGAACTAAGGAAACAATTCAGATGCCCCAATCTTTAAGATGCTCCCTGTCTTAGGGTTTCTATTGTTGCAATGAAACACTGTGACCAGAAAGCAAGTTGAAGAGGAAAGAGTTTCTTTGGCTTACACTTCCGGATCATAGTCCATCATTGGAGGAAGTCAGAACAGAAACTCAGCCAGGGCTAGAACCTAATGCAGAGGCCATGGAGGGGTACTGCTCACTGGCTTGTTTAGCCTGCTTTTACTATAGAACCCAGGACCACCAGCCCAGGGATGGCACCACCCACCATGGGCTGGGTCCTTCCATATTGATCACTAATTGAGAAAATGTTTTACAGCTACGTTTCATGGAGGCATTTCCTTATCTGAGACTCCTTCCTCTCTGATGACTCCATCTTAGTTGACATACAAAACCAGCCAGTAGAGTCCCCCTCCCCCAAACATCAGCAGTCACCCTAGCACCTTATGAAGGAGCAAAGGACATTGCTCAAATGTTTCACTGGCCATGCTGCCTTTGTTCTGCCAGTGTACCTGGTCAGGTTTCCAGTGTTGATTTTTATGGCACTTTTACCAAGCAGAACAACCATCTGTTTCAGCGCTATGTACTCACAGTTCCATGAGAACACCTCGCCCGAGCTAGCCCTTAGCCGTTGCCTAATGTGCTCTATTACAGCACATTTCGTGAAGCCTTTTCTACCGGGTACGCTGCTGTTTGGCACATGGGGTTACTGGACATCTCAGTTCTCTGATTTTAGAGTTAAGTGCTGGTGTTTAATTTTGGCTGCATTTCCTATGACTCTTGGAATTAAAATGAACCTCGAGGTGTTACCCCTCCAATTACTGCATCTGCTCCATTGTTTCCGTTTTCAGCCAGGTATTGTTACTCTACAGAGAAAACACGCATCCCTTTGCTATTGTTCACAGCTGAGTCACTCACAGGAGCAATCAGAGAAGCCTGAAGAGCCCCAATAAAAGGTCCAATTTGCCACACTTTGAGCATAAAACAGCCATTGAAATGGACATTAAACAAGATGTCAGACTAAATCATTTCAAAAACTAACCATTTACTATTCACTCCCTAGAATTAGAATTGTACCTACAGAGAAGCCTTTCATGCTTCTCCTCCAGGAAAAGAAACAAGCCGCCTACCTCAGTTTCGGTCTCCCCTCATCCCTCTGCTCCATCTTTTCTCTCTTCAGTCTCATTTGTTGTCTGTCTACCTTGGGTTCCAGCCCTGGAAACCTCTCTCCCAGGCCAATTTCTCGCCTGCACCCCAGAGGGCAGAATTGTTAAGACTGCATGCCCCTCCCCTGGGTCAGAGGCCAGTGCTTCCTAAAGCTTGGCTAGTCAAATGAATGGTGATTCATCCTCTTCAACTGATAAAACCCTGGGTTTATTTAGGCTACACCATTTCTGGCTCCACTGGCAACCAGTCACCCCAGGGCCTCCAGCATTTCTGATGGCCCTCAAGCTCCAAGACTATCTACTGAGATTCAATCTGAGACTTCCAAACCGTGCCATCAGTAAGGGCAGAGCAACTCTTCCTGCCTGGTTTCAAGGGACTCTTACAGAGTAACCACCTAGTTTAAAACAGAAAATGCTGGAAAGTAGCTTTCTGCGTAATAAATGGTAGTCTTAGGTTAAGGATACTCATATAAGGGTGTCTGTATTGTACGCAAAGGATCTTTAAAATCCGCCTATTAGTCTGAAACCATGACCAAAAAGCAAGAAGTTGCAGAAAGACTAGGAACAGTGGAAGACTTGATGGGCTCCTTTGGGCCAGCTGTATGGTTGCAAGGAACAAGACCGGAGGGCAGTGACACATACCTATTAGAGCATACCGAAGGTTGAGATGGACAGATTGAGCACTAAGGCTAACCTGGACTATATAAGAAGACAGAGTAAAAAAGGGAGGGCAGTGGAAGAGAAGAGGGAGGGAGGGAGAGAGGAGCAGAGAGAAGAAAGGAGACAGAAAGATTAATTCCGGAAAGTCTTGGCACTGAAGGAGAAATTGAGTCTTTACATGGAGGGAGGTCTTGTAAGTCTGTAGTGGCATAATGGGATTTGGGTTTTAGAAAGATCTCTAGGACAGCCCCAAGCAGGATACCGGAAATCTGAGAGAAGAACAGAGAGACCAACTGGTGGCTGCTGTATTAATCCTGATGGGAGATAACAGGAGCCCTCGCTAATGTCAGAGCCGTGAGAAAGGTATGAATCTGAACAGCGGCTCAAGAGAGAAAGCCAGGGCTTAGCTCACGTCCTCACGTCTTAAATATATGAGGTGCATGTATGAGGCACAAATGAGGAGGGAGGGTACAAAGACCAAGGGGACCACATCTGAAACTATTGGTCGGCAGCATCAAAGCAGAAACCAGAAAGAACTGGTGGGAGAATAAGGATGTAGTTACTCCAGCGTGCAGAAGGTGAGATGACATGAACATGAGCAGACCCAAACCCGCCAGTGAACTGATGTCAGCAATGGGGCGCTGGAGGGTAAAATTGAACCCAGAACTTTTAAGGTAATGGGTTTGAGTAGGACTTGGAATAAAAGAGGTGAAGGTGATATTTAAGAGGGGAAGAGGAAAATACATTTCCTGCCTTTTTCAAGCAGGAATAGAAAGAAAAACTGTTTCAGTCGGTGGGGTTGGCTCTGGATGAGTACAACGTCTGAATCCTTCAAAATCATATGGAGATGTGATGAGTATGAAGCATTTGCCTCAGGACTCCCTTGTAAGACTGACTGGCCAGAGTTCACAGAAGTACTGAGTGGACACCAGGGGCATACCTTGGCTGCCATAGAGTCAGAACTATGCCCCTGTTAGAGGAAAGTGATGTTAAACATATCTAAGACAATTTTCATTCAACAAACAATGTGAGTTACTCCCCAGCATCTCCAACCAAGCGAATGGCGGTCTGATTCTCACCTTGAATAATCAGTTCACCTAAGCCATTACACAACGTCACTGACAAGGGAACACTCAGTCCCCATTTGTCTCTGAGAGAAAATCTCACTGCAGTGTTAGGCAGCCTATCTGGTGGTATTAGGAATTTCCCTTTTCCTATGTAGCCAAAATTTCCCTCTTTGCAGTCTCTGTGCATCCATCCTTCCATTTCCCCACAGAGTTTATTTATATGTTCTTCTTTTTCAACAGCTCATCATGTATTTGGCAATGATGACTATGGGTACTTTCTCCCCACCTAAGCCTGCTTCCCCCTAAGACACAGCGCATGCTCCTGCCCACTGCCCCCGTCACCCTGGTTGTTGTAGACTGTAACTCTGGGTGCCCTTGTTCCTCTTCACAGGCAGAACCAAGTTCTCAGGAGTGGGGTAGTGGGTGCAGACTGATCAGGGCCAGCAAGCACAGGGGAAAGGCAGGATGAACTTACACAGTGGAGATCCAGAATGGTCCAAATCATCGTGGATCCCTGCTGTCTCCAAAGGACACAATGGGAACCTGAGTGTTACATGTCCCAGAAAAGCCTAGGGGAAATAGACAGTGGTGTTAAGATGGAGCTATATGGATAAAGTTCCCAGCACAAAGAAGTGGATTAGAGAGGGAAACAGTGACACCCCCCCCCCCCCGTGAGGTAATATGGAAGGAAGGCTCAGCCTAGCCATGTTGTGGCTCAGAAGGAGCAGAAGAGGTAAGCCAGGGTTCCATGTGGAAACAGACTCCTAAATGCTTCCAATTTTCACTTTTGCAGGAGACTCCCTCAGCTATCACCAGGGACGCCCTTTCTCCACGGAGGACAGAGACAACGATGTTGCAGTCACCAACTGTGCCATGTCATACAAGGGTGCTTGGTGGTATAAGAACTGCCACCGGACCAACCTCAACGGGAAGTATGGGGAGTCCAGGCACAGTCAGGTATGCCATGTTCTGGCTGTGCTCAGTGGTCCAGAGGACAGAACCCGTTTAAAAAGAAGTTCTAGGAGCCGGAGAAAAGACCACACAAAGAGCACTTTGTGGGAGGAGATCAATTCGTCACAGACTTAGTGGCACTTTAAAAGCGGGCCCCAAAAGGAAGAGAGCAGAAACCTAAAGTAACCAGGGCTATTTCCCAAAGAGACTGCAAGTCCACAGTCTGGGCTAGGTGACAAACAGTGGAACACACTCAGGGAAGCCCCTTCAGTTCTTGGCAAACTCAGAGGTTGCTCACCCCAGGTGGAAACCACCCAAGTCTCTGCATCACAAAGGAGCTGTTCACAACTACACTATTCAAAATGCTTCCTCCTAGTTGGGATCTTGACACTTGCCATAGTCACCCTAGTGCAAGAAACCCCTGAAGGCAAAAACATAAAACTGGCAATAAGAAATGTCTCACAACTTGCCTTGTATAAAGCCCCAGACCTGTTTAACGCTAGAAGGAGACCCAGCTCTCTTTGTCACACTGGGAACCCTGCATAAACTGCTTGTTGCCGTAGAAGAGCTAAGTCCATAGTGGATCTCTCTTGATCCAGCCATTCTCTTCTTCTCCAGCTGTGGGGGCAGGGGCATCTGACATGTTCCTCTCTCTCACGCGCAGGGGATCAACTGGTACCACTGGAAAGGCCATGAATTCTCCATCCCCTTTGTAGAAATGAAGATGCGGCCCTACAACCACCGGCTCACGGCCGGGAGAAAACGGCGAGCCTTGAAATTCTGAGCACTGGGCAGCCAGCCACCAGCCAGACGATCTTTTTTGTCATTTGTTTGTATTTTATAATATGAGACAAGGGGGGAGGGGCAACAGTAACGTGCTTCACAACATACTCAGAGCATCTGAAGGAAGCAGGGATCAGTTAGGTACCATCTGCCCATAGTTTCTGCTGCCTTGGAGCCTGACCCTCGGGCTACACGCTCCCTGCTAATCAGTCCTCCATAATCATCCCCTCCTTTCTCACAGAGGAGGAAAACTGGGGAGTTGAAAACACAATTCAAAAACAGACCATAAAATACAGATTGTTATGGTGACAGGCACACACACACACACACCTTCTTCCTCTACTATCTTCTGAGACACCTTCCTCTTCTAAATAATAGTAAACTGGTCACAGCCAACCATGGCCAGGTAACCACACCAGTGCAGGGGAGCTCCAGTAAGAAAGCTTGGCCAGTCTCCTCTTAAGAAGGAAGACACCTGCCACACCCCAACACAACAGCCCAAGTTCATTGAAATGAGCTAAAGATTTTCACATTCTGACACTTAACATGCAGGAGGAGTGGCTTCTCTTCCAGCCCCACCGCTTCTCTAGTGCTATCCCTTAGAGCCTATAGACCTAACAACCCAATCATTGTTTAAAACTCCAGTTGCCAAAGTTGTCTGCCAGTGCCCCTGGGTGTCATAAGCCACTGTCATGAAATAACTTTGGTGGTGAGACTTGGAGAAGGGTTTTGTTTTTAACTTACATCAGGCATTGAGAAGGGACAGGAGTAGAAATCAGGGCACCTACCAGGGAGTCTGTAAGTCCCACTGGAAACTGACCTTACTTAGAGATTCTTTTTTTGCATTTCTGATCAAAGTTACCATGCATTCCTTCCCCTGATGTCCTAGTTGAAGGTCTCTAGTTCTGTCTTCAGCCAGGCTACCCTCAGTGCAAGTGGCTTAGCAATAATCAGGGGAAGAAGTTGTATGAGCATCAGCCATTCTGCTGACTAATATATCGCCCTAGGAGGAGAGAGAATGGTTGTTCTGGTCTTTTGTTTTGGTCTTGTGGTAGGTAGAGCCGACCCCTCCAAAAGGTGAGATCATGAGAAACATTTTCCACACCCCTTTATTATTCTGCTTTGGGAATAAAAATGAAAAGTGCCAGAGGAAATTGCATTTCGAACTCCAAAGGTGAGAGGAGCGAACCCTCCGCCCCCACATGATTTGATTTTTAAGCCCCGGGGAACTGGAGGCTATAGAAGCCATGACCTCTCCGTTTCTTCTCAAATCAAAACCCAGCCAGTCTTCCCTGCAGCATCTGCCCAAACTGCACCAAGGTTCTCAGCTGGTCTCTCCTTGTCCTCACTCCTCCCCGAGGCCCCACTGTGTCCGCTACAGGGCCCATGGCTGCCATCTGGGGCATCTTGTACCTTTGCCAACCAAGTTACAGATCTAACAGACACTATCTAACCAAGCTTAGGGCCAGAAGCAACAGGCCTCTTGGAGGACAATCACACACCCAGCATCGTGAAGTTGGAGTCAGCTTGCCATTTTCTCCATCTTTGTGATGGAGACTCACTGCCACACTCATGGCCAAACAATACAAGTAGAGTTTTTATTTCTTAATCCAACATGTACTTCAAACAGCTAAGAGAAAGAAGAATAAAGAAGAACCTATAAGTTATATGAGATTTAACTATATAGCTCAACCATGCAGCATTGGAGGTAAACACACTCAGTTAGGGACTTGAGGGCTGTGATATAGGGCCACCTCTAAGACCTTGATGGGTTTATTCACATCTTTGGGCCTCAGGTTCCTCACCTATTGAATCGGAGCTTAGGCCAAAAGGATTTCTAACACTCTTTCAGTTTTCAGTCCATAATGTGAATCTGTGATAGGAAACACAGGATCAAAGTTGGCCTTGGTTCACCATCACAATTAAGGAAAAGTAAGAATTCCCACAGAGGAGATGGAGGAAGGGAAGGGAAAAAGGGGAGGGAAGGAGACCGTTTCAGAACTCTCTCTCTCAGAGAGAGAGAGAGAGAGACAGAGACAGAGACAGAGAGAACAATGCCAAGAGAAGCTGAAGTCATTATGTATTGTGTCTGTGCACGAGAGCCAAGGGCCTGGGTGTGTCCGTACAGCCCACCTCATCAAGGAAGCCGAAATGGAACAAGATTGCAAGTCATCAGTTCCAGGGAAAAATCAAGAAACATCAATGGAAATCTAAACCTGCCTTTCATGGGAACTATTTTATCCTGTGGAACCTTTTTTATAAATAGTATCAGCAGCAGCATCTGGAATCATTTAAAGCAACTGTAAAGTAAGGAAGGGACTTCAAAGATCAGCTCATCTGACCTTCTGTAAAAGGGTTTCTAGATTCCTTTTTTTAAGGAGAGAGAGACCCACACCAAACTATGTTTTGAAGAGACTGTGCAGTCCACTGTCTTCCCAAGATCCGTGGCCAGCTTGAGGCAAAACATGTGAACTTGACTGACTTAATCCTCTGCACCTCTTCACTGGGCTTCTTAAAGATTCCTATTTTATCTGCTCCTTCCCACACCTGGTTTTGTTCCTGACGAGGCAGGCAACAATACTCAGCACCCATCCTAAGCACCCAACTTACCCATAAAGGACTAGGATTGACTTGAAGTAGACCCTGTTAAGATGATGAGTGTAATTGCAGACACTTTAGAATACACACTTACAGGAAAACCCAAACAATAACAACCAGTCACTAGTGACCACCAAGGATTCACGGCCAAGAATCGAGAGCCAGGCGGCTCTGCTCTTCCTCTTTGCATGCCCTGTTGCTGATTGTTTTCAGCATATTGAATTCGCATTTTCCAAGGGCTGCCTCTGGAAGAGATTGACTGTGAAGACTCTTCATCTGGGATGACAAACCTGAAGAAGGTACTAGCCTTCAGAACATACTTTTGGGTAAAGGGGACTTGATGAGGGGACAACATCGTCATGTTCACAGCACCCAGACACCTACTTAACTGCTTTTGAAAAGCAGGGAATGATGGAGCGTGGTTCCTCTGGTTCCAGGTGAGCTCGGGCCAAAGAAGAGCCCAGAACTCATTAAACAGGAGATTGGTTTGTAAAAGAATAGCAACATGGCAGCAGGGAAAAGTGAAGCAAATGTCTATGGATGTTTAGATTTCTCCTCTCCCAGCTACCAACACCCTATCTCTAAAGAGGTGAGGTTCACCCCTAATATCTTGGTGCTTTCCACTGGGGAGCCAGTCAGCTCCTCATAGACAGAACACTCATTTCAAAGGTAAATGTGAAGTACCCAGGTTGCCTTGCCAGCGAGCTGGATGCCTAAACAAACTACCCTAAACATATTTTTACCTTCAGAAGTCCAGCGTCAGGGCAGAGCTATAGATTACGGGGCAAGAGGTCATTAAAGAATCTTTTTAAAGCATGGGTTGAGAAAGGTTTGGTGAGTTCCCCTTCATCCTTTTCTCTGGAGAAAGAAAAATGGGACCCGTGAGAACACCAGATGCACCAAACTGAGAGAGCAGTCAGTGACCACATTTGAAAATGCTCCCAAGGCTTACTTAGCGTTTGCTTTTTCCTCTACCCAGGATTTCCAGAAGCGGAGGCACTTCCCCAGGATAGTGTGGAGGAGTGGAGATCTTTTCCCCCCTCTATTTACATCTTTCCGGCTACTCTGAAATGTCCATAACAAGACTCTAAAAGATTCAAATAACCTAATTTCAATCTTAGAGGAAATGGGATAATGCTTAGCTTACCTCTAACTTGCCCAGGCTTCAAGAAGGGGCTTGGGAGCCCCAGAGATGGGGTGTACCTTTAAGGTCTGGGGTTCAGTCTCTCGTCCATCCTCCCTGGGTGGCCAGCTTTCATTCTGATAGTAAAGGAGTCAAGGCTCCCCCTCTGGGGAGAAGGGGGCAGAGTTAGTTGGCTCCTGGCCCATGGTTTGGGCTTCTCTTTATTGTCCCGCTGAGTCCTCAGAACAAATTTCTAAAGTTCTTTGACTAACTGCTTCCCTTAGCCTTTGTTTCTTCCACAGCCCAACTCTCCCATATGTGGTAGCATCTCTCCTGATAATATTGCAGTATTTTGGCCCTGCCAGGCAAAATGGGGACTCACAGAACAAATGAAAACTGCTCCAATTAAGCGGGAAAACCAACTCCATTAGTAAGAAATGCCATGAGAATCAGGGAAAGGTCCTGTTTTCAGGGATGAGTTGATGCAGACCTGGGTCCCTTTGGAAAGAGTGGCTTTGGTTCAGCCTAACTAAATCCACGCTGGAGTTAGATAAAGCCAGTTTTGTATTCTTCAAGCTCTGAAAAAGTAGCTAGGAAGAAGGGAGGGGGGTGTAAGTTAAATAAAAGAAGCCAATGGAGACTCATGAAACAAAAGCATATCTTAGAGATGGTCCCACAACAGAAACACAGAAACTGGGTGAGTGGCCATGGTCAAGATGACAGCACTGGCTTCTCTAGTTCTGGCCTCTAGACAAGGTTCCCATGGATTCAGTCCTTTGCATGCATCAGGAAGTCACTGGAAGCCGTACTGCACAGAAGCAAGAAGCAGTAGGGTTTTCTTTGTTGCTACACCAATCTTGCCTCAACCTCGCTTTTCCTTCCCAAGCCGGCACAGCCTGGTTTGTCATCGGAAGCATTTCTGATTTATTTTTCAAGGTCACTCTGCTCCTGAAACATGACTTCATTGCACCTGCAGTGCTTGGTTGTCCAAATGTCCTTGGCAAACCTCACAGTCTTTGGACAGTGTTACTTTTTTTTTTCCAAACAGGAAATTCTCCCTCCTTCCACAGCTTAAGAAGGCTACTGCAGAATATCTGTTTAACACAGCCCTTGTTCCTAAGAGGGCCTCTGTTAACTTAACAGAACAGCACCCTATTATCCGAGCTGTGAGGCTGGGCTGATGCTCAGTTTCAAATTTAGAAATATTTAACTCTTTCAAAGCCCCTTCATGGATCCTTTCCTGAGCATGGTCAATGGCTACTTGCTCTGGTGGAAAAAGTACAAGAAACCTTGAGATGCAGGCACACCATACTGAGGGAGCCTGGGAGGGGGTAGCATTGGGGGACAGATACATGGATGGAAGCTGTTTTCTTCTAGTCAGTGGCTTCACGGCCCCCAGAGAAACCTATTGCCTTTAAACAATTCATCATTGTGAACTAACATGCTCAACCCTGTCTCCTAGGCAAATGTTTAAAAAAAAAAAAACACTCCTTTGAAGCCAAAGGAAATTCTTGAGATCACCTAACATGACCTTCTCACTTCATGCTCAAGTAAAGCAAGGCCAAAACAGACAAGCAGCTTTCCTAGTTTGCACAGTCAATGAGGCATAGAGCTAGGGGCAGGCCTGGTACAATATTTTTTATTTAGATTTTGTTTTTCCTTTAGTAGAGACTGAGAAAAATAGTACTTATTGCACACCTATTGATCAGATTCTGTGCAAGGGGCTTCACATCAATTACTTTATTGAATCCTAACCAAAATCCAGAATCAGTTTTATAAATGAGGGAAATGGAAGCACAGGATTCTTAAGTAACATGCCTGAAGTCACACAGTTTCTGAGGAGAGCCATCATCTCTGATAAAAATGTACTTGACTTTTTCTGTGTGTAAAGCAGCTGGCACAGTGAGCCACGCAGCTGCCATCTTGGATCTCAGTAACATTCTCATGGAGGCCTTTCTAATTCCATCCTTCTCTCCATTTCCTCTTAACAAATGGAAATTCTTACTCCACCCCCAACCCCACCTCCTGCTAAGTACTCCAGGGGGATCTTCAACCCCAGCAGTCAGTAGTAGTAAGAAATAGCCTTGCAGCAATTCTTTCTGTTAAAAAATTTGAAGATAAGGCCAGGACACAAATGTGGTTTCCCACCCCAGTCCTGGGGCAGCACAGCGGCCTCCAAACAGAACCAAGATCAAGGAAGCGAGACCACAGGATTAAGTTCCTAGGGTATCAGTTTGACCCCAGAATTTGCAGAGTTATGAAGTGTGTTCAAACAAGCTACAAATAGCAGCAATTGCAAACATCCTATGAATTTCTAGGCTAAGATCAGCAGGGTGCAGGCCAAATTCTCATAACCCCCCTCCCAGACTCTCAAGGCTCCCTGAAGGAACACATCTTAGGACATCTGTGAAGACTGGAGCTACAAGAAGGTGGGAGAGGAGCTCTATGTATTCATTCCCTCAGGTCTTTCTCCCACTCCTCACCCCATTGAACCAGAACAATGTGCTTCAACCCTGACTAACTTTGCCACTTTAGAAAGATATCAGAAACTTGGTGGTTTCAACCATCAGGCAAAAACTCCAACACTGAACCCCTTTTTCCTCTCCTTGAAAGTTAATGTTAAAAGAACTAGATTTCCCAAGAGGGAATTCAAGTCCCCTCAGTGTGGTGGCTCCTTGACAGCACCTCAGACATACATTAGCTACAGCAAATACTGCAGTTCCTGCAAAAAAACGTCCTCCAGGGGAGCAATCCTATGCCGACTCCTTTCTTCACTACCACCCTTCAAGGCCTAGTTCCACTCTGGGCGCTCACAAACAGGGGTCAGAATCTGTAAAAGTCTATTCCCTCCTGCCGCTCCTCAACATACATGCTCTTCCCTATAGTTACACACACACACACACACACACACACACACACACACACACTGTTCCAACCCCAAGTACCCTCAAGCCTACAGGAATCCCCAGGTGCCCTAAACAAGTCACTGTGACCCTGAGGGATTACTACCTGGGGCTCCAAGCGATGAAACTCAACCCGGTGGTCTCTCATTTGTCATCCTGAGAAATCCTAAGTACCAAATCCCCCAACCCCTCCGAATTTGAATTTGTGGTTTTAACCTTTAATAGCCTTTTCAGGTAAAAAAAAAATAATAATAATAATAACCAAGACCAATTTACTGACTTTGTAGCTACACTGTACTTGAAAAGGCTCTTACATAAAAGAAAGGCCAAAAGGAAGAAAAAGACAAAGAAAAGGGGCGTATGCTCGTCAGGTGACGTACCCTCTGATGAACGAAAATAAACAGCCAGAGAGGAAGGAAGAGGGAGAGCCAGCTGGTCCCATCCTTTCATGGCACTGTAGCTAAAAGACTGGAATCTGCTTGTTAACCATTGTTAACTAGTATTTTTAGTCCCGGTTGCTTTTAGCCTCTGTATAGTTCCTTTTTTAAACACATTTTCTATACGTTAATAAAAGATCCTGAAGGAAAAGTCTGTGTCTTCTCCATTCTTTGGGGGAATTATGGGGCGGGGGAGGGGTGCCTTTTTAACCTTGGTTTTTCTGGGTTTTTCCCAGCATTTACCAGTCCACTTCTACCCACATGCCTCCTCTGCATCACCCTTTTAAGTGAGCTGTCCTGGTCCCTAGTGTCCCTGCTCCACTCTGTGACAGTGGTCCAATCTGCCTCCCTCCTGCTTCTCTCCTGGCACCCTCAACCCTGATGCGCCCTGTGACAGCCGCATCTCCAAATCTCTAGTGCCACCTATGGGTGTTGGCTGAGACTATTTGACAGACCCAACTTTCTAAGCCTCCCTGCCTTCCCTTCGCACTCTGTCCTGATCCCTCCAGCTTGGAACTAGCTCAGTCAGTTTGCCACCAGCCCTTCTCAATGGTGGCTCTGGTGGTCAACTCTTCCTCAACTTGGTCACCCATGAAGGCCTCCTCCCTTTATCTCTCTGCTAATGTACTCTAACCCCCAGGTTATACAAGGCAAGCTGGGGAATAGTCCCAAGAAGAGGATGACAAGAGAAACGCTCATCTTGTTCAGTGGCTTAAGGTCACAAGGTCGGAAAGTCTCAGGGTAACTGAGCAGTAGACGGCGCCAATTTGGCACAGTATAACAGAAGAGCTCTGCCCCCCCTCCCCCCCCCCCGAGAGGAAGGGGGTTTGGAGGAGCCTGGCTAGGGGGAGGGCAAAGTGGCCAGGTTCCATGATAATGCAAGTTATAAAAGTGGGAAAATGCCAAGGGGCCTGAGGCGGTGTACAGATACCACGCCAGAAGGGATTCAATATAAACGTTTGCTGACTCCCTGGGACAGAGAGACAGAGAGAGAGAGAGAGAGAGAGAGAGAGAGAGAGAGAGAGAATAAAGCCTTAGCTCCCCACAGGCAAACACCATAGGGCAAACCTTGTGAAATCCCCAAACCCCTAAGGAAGAACAAACTTTCTTCGTGTCCCTTGTTAAAATGGAGAAATAGTGAGTGTTTGAAAGAAGGGACTGAATTACCCTCCCTAGAAGAAGCCATGAGAAAGGATTCATTGCTTCCCCCCACCCCCTACCAACAGGCTTCTTCACACATCTGGGCCAAACAGAGCCACTGAAGCAGAAGCCCTTCATGAACAGAAGATGGGGGTGTGGGGGCACTTTCTCAGCCTTTTCCCTGTGTGTCATTTCATAAACGCTACTCCTTCCCCCTCCCCGCAGCTTCTGGAAGGAAAGCCTTTAGAAGCAGCCACATTTCCCGGTCCTGCTTTGAACAAACCGCCTCAGACTTTTGTACCAGAGGAGTGAATGACTATAATATTGAGATGAAAACCTGCCATTTGAATCTCATCCCTCTCGCTCTCTGGAAACAGAAGGAGAAACTAAAGGGATCTAGGGGAACTTGAGGGAACTTCAGTAATTAGTATTTACTCTGAGAGGGCTGAATGCTAGCATTATGCTCTAACTTAAATGGGTATAATTCACCCATTGCTTAAGACCTCTGGGTACATTTACAACCATCTGAACACAGATTTAATTATTGCTGTGTTGTGGGAACTACAAACTGCCACGGGTAAAATTAAAAGTAGATTATTAAAGCAAGAGAAATGTTCACAGCATTAGCAATCAGCGTAATTACCCTGTATCATCTTCTCTCCCATAATGCCCTGAGTGGCCCTGGGGACCTGTGCTTCAGCAGTGGTCCTTCTGCCAGTCAGCAATAAGACAGCATCCCAGAATGAGAGGCCTCCAGGCCTGCATCTCTCCTTTCCTGTAACAAGGAGAATAGCAGTTCTCATCCTCTGGGGGTGACCGCTTTCGAGAATCACATATCAGATATTTACACTGGAATTCATGGCAATATAAAAATTACAGTTATAAAGTAACACTGAAGTAGTTTTATGATTTTATGGTTTAGGGGTCACCTCACATGGGGAACTGCTTTAAGGATGGCAACATCAGGAAGGTTGAGAAGCACTGCAGTAGAATGTACCCCACTGCCTTAGTCTGCAGGGAATCAGAAAATGAATGTGCAGTACACTCTTAAACACATCAATGTGTATCTCGTTCTTCTCACCCATCTCATCTCTGTCATTCAATGAATTCCTGTTACATAGCAAAGCTGATGCCGACTTCAGTTAAACAGATGGGGACCATGGGCTGGAGAGGCACCTCAATGGTTAAGAGCACTTGCGTAATTCCTAAGTTATCCAGCACCCACATCAGGCAGCTCACAGCCGCCTATATAACTCCAGACTCAGGAAACACAGTGCCCTTTTCTGTTCTCTGCACTCTTGAGCGTGTGTGTGGGCATACACACATACACACACACACACACACACACACACACACAATTAAAAATAAATCATGTTTTTAAATAATAGAAACTTCCTAGTAACTTCAAAAGACCTCCCATTCCTACCTCCTTGAAGAGATTTATGCATGCATGCATTCTCTCTCTCTCTCTCTCTCTCTCTCTCTCTCTCTCTCTCTCTCCTTTCTCAGTGAAAAGAAATTCTTTCATTTATTCCCTCACTATATACTGATTGATTAAGTCCATGTTAATTTCTGGGACTTTGGTACCAGCGTCTTAAAGTTCTCCTAAGAAACAGAACTAATGTGACAGAGTGTGGTGATTGATGACAGAAGACAGATAAGAACCAGCCTAGGTCTCACATCAGCAAACAGAAAGAAACAGGAGGTAAAGTCCTCCTTCCTCTGCTTTTCTGTTCTAGTCCTATGTTCAACTGATGAAATGATATCCATCCACCCTGGAAACTTACCTAGCTACCTGTCCTGTCTGTCTCCTGCAGGAGCACCCTCACAGACACACATGAAAATAACCTTTAATCTGGGCACTGCATGGCATGATCAAGCTGACACACAAAATTAACCATCACACTCCTGACTGGAGTAAACAACATAGGAATGGCTCCTTTCCCATAGATGTCCCTCTCATGGGGACATCATAGTGCAAACTGAAGTTT